TCAAGTGGAAAGGGGTATCCTCCCTCTGAGAACACTTGGGAGCCTTTAGGAAATCTAGGCAATGCTAAAAAGGCTATTGCAGATTTCCATAGGCTTTACCCCTCTGCTCCCAGAAGGATTTCAGCCATCACCTTTGATAGGCTTCACTTCCAACCACTCATCAACTATACTATACCACCTAAAAGGGTTCTCTTTGATTGGACATCTGGAAAGAAGAAGGGAAAAGCAGAAGAAGGAGTATCAACATGCTGGGACAGCATGTCTAGAAGGGGGGGTGATGTCAGGGCACCAGCTCATTGCTTGGTCAAGAGACATGACTAAGCCTTTATGACATGGAAGTAGCTGGTATACCTTGGCATGTGCTGGAACCTGCTGGAAGGATTGGATGGTCAGGTGACCTGCTGTGCATGGCTGTGCATGACCTCATATGACCTCATCCTTGGTCATATGACCTGATCACCTGACTAGGCTGAGTAAGCAAGATGTTCTAGCAGGTTCCACCACAGAGGTATAAATATAAGGCCTACTCTGCCTGGGACTGTCTCTTCAGACTTGGTCTCTTAGGATCATCCACAGGTACCTATACTGTAGATAGGTCTTAGTCATCAGGTCTACTCCACTTCCTTGTTGCCTGCTTAGACTCTTGGCACTCTTAGGTGAGCAGACTTAGTCAGCCTGTGTTGCCCTAACAGTTTCTCAGCAACCCTCAGATATCAGCTCTTCATCTCCAGCAATGGCAACTACAGCAGCACCATCTGGATCTGATGCCTCAGATAGCTTGATGGCTGCAGCTAGCACAGAAGTGGAAGGAGAAGGAGGACATGCATGGAAGCATAGCTGGAGAACCTAGGCTTGCTTCACATGTGGGGTGCATCTTGACCAGATACATCTGTCTCTGGCATGTCTCACACATTGTCAACTGAATTTGGATACTGCCAATGGGTACCCTTGCACCTTGTGCATAAATGTCCCTACATGGGAAATGAGCAATGATCTCTTAGTGGTCTGCCTGATGCCTCATTGCTGTCAGACTCCCTCTGAAGAACAGGCATGCTATGCCCACCAATCTGCTGATCCTCACTGGCATGAACATTGTCAAGAGCAGAATGCAAGGCAGCAAGCAGAACATTGAGCATGGCAAACTCCTCAACAGCATGCTGAGAATCTTGCAAGAGGACAAGTGCATCAGGCTGTTCAGCAAGCCCATGCAAGACAGAACCAAGCTTCCTGACCCTGGTGGCTGGACTTCCCTGATAGTGCCTCAGTGGCTGGACAACAGCAGGCTATCCTCAAGTGGAACAGGGTGTGTCTTTACTGCCATGCCAGCCTTCTCAGGGAAGACACCAATGACTAGTGTGGGTGGCTGAGATGCTGATGGCTGAGCCCCAGTGGAGAGCCTGCCACATTTTGCTGCAATGGGGGCCAATATCAGTTACCTCCTCTACCACCTTTACCAGAAGAATTTGGCATTCTGCTAGCTCATCCACATATCTCTGAGTTGTCTCACAAGCTCAATAGTCTCTTTGCATTTACGGCTATTAGCACATGAGAAGCTTTCATCAACAACCCTGCTCCTTCCCATGTGGTGCTTACAGGGTGCACTTATCACCATATGCTTGATATAGCAGAGCCAGCTCACTCAATCCACTGGTTTCTCTATGATGTGCATGAGAGGGAGCAAGCAGCTCAAGCTCAGCAGGTGCCTCAGCCATTGCTCACTGCAGTGTCATTGGTGCTCAAACAGCATAATCCATATCTTCATGCACTCCAACATTTTCAGCATGAGGAACTGCCTGATGTTGCAATGTTGAAATTGCCAGAGCATACAGCAGCAGGTGACTTTGCTGCTATAATGCATGCCAATAACAGTATTGTGGTGGATCCATGTAGCATCTTGATCTGGTGCTTGGGTATGTGTGACAGTCTGCTTGGAGGTATGACTCCTGTGCCAGGTGCAGAACAGCCATCCTTTATCAGCATTTTCAGCCAGCATTATGAGCCACTTCAATACCCACTTCTCTTTCCCCATGCAACAGCTGGATGGGGCCTGCTTGGCTATGATGACCCTCAAGGACTTTGTCTGGGTTGTCCTTGCTACCCCCATGGTCTCACCCAAATGCAATGGTATTGCAATCAGCTTCTCACAGAGGATTGCTTCCTCTACTTTGGTTGCCTTGCAAATGGGTATATATGTGATATGTTCTCTCACATGGAAGAGCAGTGCCTGTACTATATTGGCAAGGCACGGGAGCATTAGGCTGCAAGATGCAGAGAACAGAGGGAGGTGTCAGGGCACCAGCTCATTGCTTGGTCAAGAGACATGACTAAGCCTTTATGACATGGAAGTAGCTGGTATACCTTGGCATGTGCTGGAACCTGCTGGAAGGATTGGATGGTCAGGTGACCTGCTGTGCATGGCTGTGCATGACCTCATATGACCT